ATACCTAGGAAAACTTGGGCATATTGTATAAAAAAATGATCTTAATTTATTAGAATTAAAAGAAAATATGACACTAAATAGGACACAATGGAGAAAAAGGATTCTTGTAGCCGACCCCACTTAGTGGGAGAGCTCTTTTGTTCATGTTGCATCTGATTGTGTAGTTTCTATCATTTATTACACATCTAAATCATGTAAGTTTATTTCTAATTATCTTATCTTAACAGATGACACTTCGTCTGTTCCGAATTTGATAACTCGTCAACATATCATTTCTAATTTTATCACAAGCATATTAAAATCTACTATGTCTACTTAAATTAATGGTTTTTATATTGCCAATACTAGGATTCATATTACCTAATTGACCTAATTATTGTCTTATGAAATTTACTTTGAATTCTATATAATATCCTCTTATCAGAGTACTCCCTAGAAACTTCTCCATTTTCGCCACTCAATATTACTAGTAGAAAGATAAATTTATCAAAACTGAAAATTTAAGTGCTAGTGTCTACTATTTTTAGATGAAAACAAGTTTGAAGTTGAAGAATATTATTTGTGTTTTTTAATGGATTACGAAGCATCCATTTATTCTTATTTCTCATTGCGTGCTAAATGAGGCATTAACTTTATATTTTCCTGAAATTCTTATGTAACTTCTAGCCATATTACCTTCGACAATTTTGTAATTTTTCTTTTCTGATGATTCCACTTTAATTGTTTACTGGCTTTGTTGATGGATCTTCTCTTCTCACTAGTAGGGTTTCCCTTCAACATATTCTGCTTCCACCATTTTCATTTTTCTTGAAGGATTCAAACATCATACATCCTCCTTTGGAGGCAACGGAGAATATTGAACTACATGTCCTAAATTATGACAATCAACTTGACCATTTGTGAATGTTTGCTGCTAACACTCATAGTTGGTCTAGATGTATTTTTATAAAATTAAAGTCTACTTGATATGTGTCGCCCTCGATCTTAGTTACCCAGCTTTAATTTTTATGAATTATCCCCTCGTCTTTATTTTCATTCTTTCATATGTTGTCTCATGCCCATATATTAAACTTTCAGCTGCAACCTCTAAATAATCAATTTCTTGAACGATAAAATTAATAAGCATGCACATTTTGTTTCGTTAACGTTGAACCTCTTTTTCATTTAAAAATTTCTCTATGCTCTTGTATCAAAGGGGAAATGCATAGACCAAAATGATGTCAAATACATAGAACTTTCCCTTAGTTGTCTTATATTGAATATATTGTCTCTTCATAGTTAATATAAAGCATATTCATGCTTTGTCGAATGCTCAGTTTTATTTTGCTGGGATTAGAACAACTTTCATCAATTCACAATGTTATCATTGAAGCATTATTCATACCTTTATTATTTGCAACATAATTTGACAAAATTTCACCTTTTTGCTCATCTAATAATTCCGATTGTTTTTTATTACACTCTTTTCAAAGATCAATAAACACAATAGAAAATCCTTTCTTTTTTATTTTTTATGGTGCATTGTTTGTCTTAACTGTCATTTCCTTAGTAGGCTTCCTAGCATATAACCAAATTAGATTTTTTTTTCTGCTGATGTGAATTTTATCTAGCCATATTTTCTATTACCTTTTCAATGATTTTATATGACTCATAAATGTGGTTTTTTTATAATTATCATTTTTCCATATATTTATTTTGCTCTTAAACTCGGGGATCTTTTTATCTAATTATCCATATATTTCTTGTCTGGGGATAAAGCCACATTTTATAGTTTTTTAATTCTAATTTAACTTCATTTCTTATTCATTATTAGGCCCAAGATTTCTTTCCCATTTTATTTTTCCGATGAATTTTCTTTTTTAAAATTTCCTTTTTATATTTTATCATAACTATTGTTAGGATCTTTTCTGATGATAAATGTAAACTCAGGAGAATATTTTGGCTTGATGCATAATTCAAATTTCTTGAATTATTGTATCTGGTTGACAGGATAGAAAAAATTGCAAAAAGAATATTGTTTAACAAAGAAAGTAGAGAATATAACTCATTGCTGTACAGATTTATTTTCATACTTTCTCTGGCTCTATAAATGGATCCCTCTACATAAGTTTGCGAGCTATGATTGCAGGAGCCTAATAGGGCCAACACTTCTATGTCTGTTTATTTAAATTTAATAATTAAATTAAATAATTAATGTCTTTAAAGGGTTGACCGGGCTATGGATCATAACTTTATACAGCTAGATAGCATATCCTCATGCACACCTCGCCCACAGAATCTGTACCCACATAACCAACTGCACTATTGTAACAAATTATGTCACTATCTGAACTATATATAAACATAGCAAACAAGCAAATTGAGCTGAAAGAATTAAAATTATTCGGTTCATTCTACCACATGGTTATTCTTTGTTCTTCTGCCTGTATATATGGTTCCAGAGCCCTTCAGCCTCATGGCTTAAGCTGCTCACAACTGCTGATACCTCAGCAGTCCGATTTCCTCTTTATACTACTATTTAGCTTCTCTCCTGCTACAAAAATATGACTCAATCAACAACATCTGCTACAGACAATTCACGTCGGCCTCCTCAGATCAACATGATCTTCTCTTCCCGTTCTTCTCTCATTTTTTTTTTTGTCTAACATCAAAAACATCTTTCAAATTCAGCTCACAACCAACAATTACCCCAAATGGAAATCCCAAATCCTTGAACTATTTCATACAAATGGATTAGCCTATCTAAATGGATCTGCAACCCTACAGCTATGGCCGCAGCAACCTTGTTTCAGCAAGGTCTAGTAATCTGTTAAATTTGTGAAAGAAGTGGTCACGCTGCCATTCAATGTTGGCACATTTTAGATCTGAATTACGCCCACTTCAGTCACCAATCTAAATGAATGTTAGTTGGAGCTTCCCCTACTACAGACCTAGTATCTTGATTCATGCGCCACCTTACATCTCACAATAGACTCTTCTGAACTTAATCAACCCTTCAACTATCAAGGTGATCAGCAAGTTCTGGTTGGCAATGGACAAACCCTTCCCATAGCCCAATCAAGTCATGGTTCCCTTACAACTTCTTCACGTAAGTTTTAACTTCACTGTCTACTTCATGTTCTCTATCTCACACATAATCTCTTATCAGTACATAAACTAACAACAAATAATTCATGTTCCATAAAATCTTCATGGTTACAAAATCATTGATTCTCAAACCAACAAGTTTTGTTTAAAAGCTCAAGCTTCAATGGTGTCTATACAGTTCAACAAAATTCAGTCTTCGCCCTCATCCTAATCATAACTTATTGTTCGAAGTTATATTAGGAAATAATTTATTTTTGTTAAAAGTTATGAGTATTAGATTTTTTTCCTTGGATTAGATTTATTTCCTTTCTTATTTTAGATTTATTTCCTTGGATTGGATTTATTTCCTTCCCTATTTTAGGCTTTCATATTTTATGTCGTTTTCTTTATGTTCAACTAATTATTATGAATTAATTAATTGCTGATATAGGTGTTATATTTTTCCTTTCATATTATGTAATTTTTCTTGTCCTTTCAATTCTAGGATTCATGTAAGTGTATTTACACCCCCTTTTCATATCTATAAAATAATTCGGCTAAATTCTGAAAATTAAAATGGTATCAGTGGCTTGAAACAAAGTCTCCTACCGCCGTAAACTTTCTATATCCTGTAGCCAGCAATTTTGTCGGGATACAGGCCTTTCCTTTGTATCCTCT